TCCCCCCAGTCAGCTCCCAGGTTCAGGCTGGGGACGTGTCCCAGTGGGCAGCAGAGCTCAGGTTATCGTGGTCTCAGTTACCAGTTCAGAGGGATGGGATGGGATTGCTGTTCGAGAGGGCATCCATGGAAGCCCTTTGCAGCAGAAGAGCCCGGCCCAGCCAGACTGGGCTCTGCTGGTGTTGGCTCTCACTAAGGGGGATGCACAGGGGTCTGGTCCCAGCCCTGCAGCCCACTGCAGCCCACGCCTGGAGCGGAGAACCCCAGGCCCTCCAAGGGGATGCTGAGAGGAGAGCCCCCAGGAAAGCCAAGGGTGAGGGGCTGTCTCCAAGCTCAGACCCATTTGTTAAACTCCTGCAGCCAGCCCAGGCTACCTGCACCAGCCCTGCTGAAACCAGCACCACTGGAACACGCAGCACCACTGGGCTGGTTCTGAGCAGCTGGAGGAGACCCTGCCGAGCCAGGTTTGGGATCACAGTGTGGGATCCTGTGAGGTCACCCACTGCTGGACCCAGACTGGGACCTGGCAGGAGGTCAGGCTCTGGGATGCGCCTTCCCCTCCCATCACAGCCCTGCCTGCCCACTCAGCGTGCAAGGAAACTCCTAATGATTGACTTCTTAATTAATTATAACTAATTTAACCACCGCATCCTGTTGATTACAGGAGCTGCACAAACAAGAGTTTCCCGAGCAGGGCCGCAGCAGACAAAGCAGCCCCCGGCCCAGCAGCGGTGCTGTGCCCCCTTCCGCGAGATCCCCCCTGGGGCCATCGTGGGGCTCCGGCCCCGGGAGCTCTCAGGGTGCCTCTGTAACGGACCTGCCCGGTGGGGACAGGGCAGTGGGGACCCCCAGAGCCACCCCCAACCCATTTCATTCCAGCCCCCGACCCGCTGCTGTGTGTGGGGGTCACACTGGGACGGCCGGTCCCCGCTGCCTCGAAACTGCCCCCGGACTTGGGGTGAGGTCCAGGGGGGCTCCCCTGCTCTGTCCCAGCCCTGAAGGGGGAGAAAGAGGGGCCAAGGATGTTGGGGGCACCCCGGGGTGCTGCCGGCGCCCCTATGACATCCCCCTAGCACACCCCACACCCCCGCTTGATACCCACGTGGCCTCCCGCCGCCGCGCCCGGTACCCCGGGAAACGGGAGGGGTTGGCTCGGGGGGGGGGGGGGGGGGGGCTCCCCCGTCTCCCGGTACCGGCCCCGCGGCCGGGACCCCTGCCCCCCCCCCCCCGCCGCCCTCCCGCAACTTCCCCGGCCCCGCGGCCGCGGAGAAACTTTTGTGAGCGGCGACCGGGAAACTTGGCGGGGAGCGGGGGGGCGGGCACGTGCGGGGCGGCCACCGCCACCGGGACCCCCCCGGGGTGCGCGTCTGTGCGCGCTTCCCGCTCCCGTCCCTCCGCCGCCATCGCGCCCGGCTCCGGTCGCGGGAGAAGGTGGAAGGGAACGGGAAGGCGGCGGCTCCCCGTGGCCGCGGACCGGCGGGGGGGAAAGAAGGGGGGGGTTGGGGGTGTCCGGTCTGCTCCCCCCTCCCCGATTGGAGCTGGGGGGTCCCGCGGCCGGGACTCACCGTGCGCTCCGCGGGGCGGCGGCGGCGGGTGCGGGCCCGGCGCTGGGTGCGCAGGAAGGAAGCGGGAGGGACCGCGGCTGACGTGAGGGATGCGGAGCAGCGGCTCCTCCTCGCCCGGCCCCGCCGGCTGCCCTTTATCTCCCCGCCGTGCCCCCGCGCCCCTCCCGGTTCCCCGAGCACCGTGACCTCCCTCCCGCACCCCGCACCCCCTCGCCGGGTCCGCCCTCGGTACCGGGTGCGGGGAACAAAGCTGCGGGGCGCGGCTCTGCTGTCGGTAATGGGGATGGGGCTGTCTGATGGCCCCCCCCAAACCATCCCCTTCGTGGTCCCACCAGAGACTCCTGGCCCCTTGGTTTTGAGGGGGGATCTCCCCATTAAAGGATGCTTGGGGAGTCACGCTGCATCCAGGGGGGACCTGGTGGGTATCAACAGTGATAGGAATATGGGAACCATAATGTGCGCCTCAGAAACCTTGGGGAGGGGGGGGGGTGATGGTGTCACAACAACTGGAAACGGCCTCCCCCAAAAAAGGGATGAGTGGGATTTGGGATGTTGGGGTGCTGGGGGGGTGCTGGGCACCCCCAGATGCTGGATAGGGCTGTGGTGGGTGGGAGAAGGCAGCAGGTCTGAGGCTGTACCGAGGGTCTGCGAGCAGCACCCTGGCTCCCCCTGCGAGGAGGACGAGGGTCTGGGCCTTGGGATGAAGGTGCACGCAGAGACCACTAGATTCGGCTGGAGCGGAGAGAGGATGCAGATTCTCATCTCCATGGAAGCAGGAGGGGCCGGACAGACGGATGGCAGCAGAGTTATTGTGGAAGCGCAGCCCTTTGTCTGGCAGCTGCTGCTCGGCTCCACTTTGGGTTTTTCTTGCATTCTTGGGTGAAAATCACCTCACCAGCCCCTTCGAGCTGCCCGTGCCCGCAGCGCCCTGCACCCTCCAGCCACGCATCCCCTGGCCCGCGCCTGTGCTGCGACCGGAGGAGCAGAGAGCAGGCCCGGTGGATGCAGCCCCTGGAGCCACCGTCTCCCCAGGTCGCAGCCGTGCCCCCCCTTCCGCGCCTCTCTGGGGCCCGGTCTGCGCCCCAAAGGTGCGGGAACACCGGGGGCTCGGAGCCAGCGGCGGCGAGAGCCGCTCCTTTGGCGTCCCGGCGATGCTCCGGCACCCCCGGAGGGAGGGGCAGGCACAGGGAATGCCGGGCGGTGGCGTGAGGCAGGAACGGGCTCGGCACGGCCATGGGCGGTGCAAACCGGGGCGGCGGAGGTGGGAGCAGCCGGCAGCCAATCAGAAGAGGGAGACTGCAGGAGCTGCAGGAGCCTCAGCCAATGGGAACGTGCAGACGCGATCCCGTCGCTGCCGCCGCCGGGGCTAGAGGCGCGGGGTCGTTCCGGTTGGAAAGACCCGGGGATGATCCGGTTCCCAGCACTGCCAGGGCCGCCACGGAGCCCCCGGTGACCGCCCCCCGCCCCGCGGCGCCCAGCCTCGGGCCCAGCGCTCACCGGGGAGCAGCGCCCAGCTGGTGCGGCGCGTCACCCAGCACAGCCAATCAGCACGCAGAGATTCAATCCTCACCCAGCACAGCCAATCAGCACACAGAGATTCAATCCTCACCCAGCACAGCCAATCAGCACACAGAGCTTCAATCCTCACCCAGCACAGCCAATCAGCACACAGAGCTTCAATCCTCACCCAGCACAGCCAATCAGCACACAGAGATTCAATGCTCACCCAGCACAGCCAATCAGCACACAGAGATTCAATCCTCACCCAGCACAGCCAGTCAGCACACAGAGATTCAATCCTCACCCAGCACAGCCAATCAGCACACAGAGATTCAATCCTCACCCAGCACAGCCAATCAGCACACAGAGATTCAATCCTCACCCAGCACGGCCAATCAGCACACAGAGCTTCAATCCTCACCCAGCACAGCCAATCAGCACACAGAGATTCAATCCTCACCCAGCACAGCCAATCAGCACACAGAGCTTCAATCCTCACCCAGCACGGCCAATCAGCACACAGAGATTCAATGCTCACCCAGCACGGCCAATCAGCACACAGAGATTCAATGCTCACCCAGCACAGCCAGTCAGCACACAGAGATTCAATCCTCACCCAGCACAGCCAATCAGCACACAGAGATTCAATGCTCACCCAGCACAGCCAGTCAGCACACAGAGATTCAATTCTCACACAGCACAGCCAATCAGCACACAGAGATTCAATCCTCACCCAGCACAGCCAGTCAGCACACAGATATTCAATCCTCACCCAGCACAGCCAATCAGGACACAGAGGTTCAATCCTCACCCATAACAGCCAATCAGGACACAGAGATTCAACCCTCACCCAGCTCAGGCAATCAGAAGGCGGGGACACGATCCTCACCATCTCAGCCAATCAGAAGGTGGGGATTCGATCCTCACACAGCTCAGCCAGTTAAGGTGTAGAGATTCAATCCGCAGCCATCTCAGCCAATCAGAAGGCGGGGACGCGATCCTCACCATCTCAGCCAATCAGAAGGCGGGGACGCGATCCTCACCATCTCAGCCAATCAGAAGGTGGGGATTCGATCCTCACACAGCTCAGCCAGTTAAGGTGTAGAGATTCAATCCTCAGCCATCTCAGCCAATCAAAAGGCAGGGACATGATCCTCACCATCTCAGCCAATCAGAAGGCGGGGACACGATCCTCACCATCTCAGCCAATCAGAAGGCAGGGATTCGATCCTCACATAGCTCAGCCAGTTAAGGTGTAGAGATTCAACCCGCAGCCATCTCAGCCAATCAGAAGGCGGGGACAGGATCCTCACCATCTCAGCCAATCAGAAGGTGGGGATTCGATCCTCACACAGCTCAGCCAGTTAAGGTGTAGAGATTCAATCTGCAGCCAGCTCAGCCAATCAGAAGGCGGGGACGCGATCCTCACCATCTCAGCCAATCAGAAGGTGGGGATTCGATCCTCACACAGCTCAGCCAGTTAAGGTGTAGAGATTCAATCTGCAGCCAGCTCAGCCAATCAGAACGCAGGGACACGATCCTCACCATCTCAGCCAATCAGAAGGCGGGGACATGATCCTCAACATCTCAGCCAATCAGAAGGCGGGGACACGATCCTCACCATCTCAGCCAATCAGAATGTGGGGACACAATCCTCAGCCAATCAGAAGTTGAGAACACAATCCTCACCAGCTCAGCCAATCAGGACTGGGCTCCGCCGGTGACCTCTGACCCCGCCGGTAACCCGGAGCACGGGCGCGCTGGCTCTTTAAGAGGGGGCGGGGCCTGCGGCCGAGCCCCGCCCCCGCGCGCGCGCTGCCGCCGTGTGTCCCCGCGCGGCTCCCGTCGCCCATCGGCTCGGGCGCCCCCTGGCGGGCCCGGGGCAGCGGCGCCGTCCCCGTCCCCGTCCCCGGTGGAGCCCCGGAGCGCTCCCGCCCGGCGCCGCTCGGCTGAGGGCTCCCTGCGGCCCGGCCCGGCCGCGCGCCCTCCCGCCGGGATGATCAACGCCATCCTGGTGTTCAACAACCACGGCAAGCCGCGGCTCGTCCGCTTCTACCAGCACCTGGTGCGGGGCGGGGCCGGGGGGGGCGCTCGGGGGCGGCGGGGAGGGGGGGGCCGGGTCCTTCGGGGCGCTGGGGAGCCGGTCCCGGTCCCTGCCCCGCACCCGGCGCTGGCGGAGCGGGGCAGGGGCCCGGGTGCCCCGCGCCGCTCCATGGTGCCCGGCCCCGCAGGCGGAGGAGGTGCAGCAGCAGATCATCCGCGAGACCTTCCACCTCGTGCTCAAGCGGGACGATCACATCTGCAACTTCCTGGAGTGCGGCAGGTAACGGGCGGGACGGGCGCTCCCCGGCGGGACCGGAGCCGGGCCCCACACCGCCCCGCTCCGTGTCCCCGCAGCCTGTTCGGCGGCTCGGACTACAAGCTGATCTACCGGCACTACGCCACGCTGTACTTCGTGTTCTGCGTGGACTCCTCGGAGAGCGAGCTCGGCATCCTGGACCTCATCCAGGTCGGTGCCCCCGCCCGTGTGTGCCCCCGCCCCGAGCACTGCCCGTGCCCTGCGCCCGGCCCCGCCGCTCTGCGGGTGCTGTCGCTTGTGCCTGTGCCCTCTGGAAGCGGGTGAGGAGCTGGCGGGCGGCAGAGCGCCTCCGCCTGGAGCAGCGGGAGGAGTGAATCGCGATGAATTTCCTTTAGAAAGAGTCATGGAAGTGTCGAGTTTGGAAAAGCCCCTTTAGGTCACTGAGTCCAACCGGTAATCCCAGAATCCCAGGTTGAAGGGGCCTCAAGGACCACCTGGTCCAACCTTTCCAGGCACAGCATGACCCGCACTGGGTGTCCCAGCTGTACCCTGTGCAGCTGAGCCTTAACAGTGTCCAGTGCTGGGGAGTCACCTCTTCCCTGGGGGGATTATTCCAGGGGCTGGTTGTCCTCACTGGGAAAGTTTTCCTCTTGTGCTCAGTCGGAATCTCCTCGGTGGTAACTTGTGCCCATCACCACTTGTCTTTCCCATGTGACTCCTTGTACAAAGGGAGTCTCTGTCTTCTTTGTAGCCACCCTTTAAATATGGGACTATGGGAATCAGGTCTCCCTGAGCCTTCTCTTCTCCAGGCTGAGCAGTCCCAGCTCTCTCAGCCTTTCCTCACACACTTCCCAGCCCTTGGGTCATCTCTGTGGCCCTTCCCTCTCCAGCCTGTCCACACCTTTTTTTTGTGTCACAGGGACCAAAACTGAGCCCACGTTCCAGGGGTGGCCTGACCAGCGCCGAGCAGTGGGACAATGGCATCTTTATCTCTGCTGGTGATGCCCTTGCTGATGTTGTTCTCCCTCTGCTCCCCCGTTGGCTTTCTCTGCCACAGCTGCACACTGGTCACTCCCATGTTGCTCCCCAGCTAGGCAGATCCCAGCCTGTGCTGCATTCTGGGATTGGGTTTTCCCAGGCATAAGACCTGACCTTGCCTTTGTTGAACTTTGTAAGGTTCTCCTTAGCCCATCCAGCTCTTCCTGCAGGGCAGATCTCACTTCCCAAGTGTCCATTTACCCACTCAGTTTGGTGTCATTGACGAAGAAAACAGTGCCAGCCTGGCACTGCCAAGCCCACCGCAACCATGCCCCCAAGCACATCTGCATGTCTTTAAAATCCCTGCAGGGGTGGTGACTCCACCACTGTCCTGGGCAGCCTGTTCCAATGACAGACTTGTTCCTTGACAACCCTTTCAGTGAACAGATTGGTCCTCATCTCTGTCTAAAGCTACCCTAGTGCAGCTTGGGGCTGTTTCCTCTTGTCCCATCCCTTGTTCCTTGGGAGCAGAGCCCAGCCCCTCCTGGCTCCATCCTCCTGTCAGGCAGCTGTAGGCAGCGATCAGGCCCCCCTGAGCCTTCTCTTCTCCACACTGAACCCCCCAGGTCCCTCAGCCATTCCCCATCACACTTGTGCTCCAGGCCCTGCACCAGCTCTGGTGCCCTTCTCAGGCCCTGCTCCAGCCCCTCAATCCCTCTTGTAGGGAGGGGCCCAGAGCTCCAGATGCATTTGAAAGCAGTGTTCAGACACTGCGAGGCCATCGCAGGAGCTGGCTTCCTGCAGGTTTAGTCCCTGCTCAGGGTGACACCTGGGACACAGCAAGTGTAGGTCGGGGCTGTGGTTTATTCACCTGTGGGCACTGGGGCTGGGGCAGGCAGCATGCTGTGGGGCTCTCATTCACTCACCTCCCCTTCTGCATCCTCAGGTCTTTGTGGAGACGCTGGACAAGTGCTTTGAGAACGTCTGTGAGCTGGACCTCATCTTCCACATGGACAAGGTGGGTTGTAGGCTCCATGTGCTGCTGCGGGCAGCGCCTGGCTGCTGCAGAGCCCTGCCCTCCCTGTGGCTCCAGGGCCAGGAGCCAGCCTGGGGCTCTGGAGCCTTTGGGAGAGGCTGTTGGGGTGCTCAGGATCACCTTTTGGGGAGATACTGAGATGGAGGTGGGGGAGTTGTCAGCCTGGGCTCACGCTGTGTCCTCCTGATGAGAGATCTGAGTGGCTGGGCTCTGTTTTGAGTCCATAGGACACTGGTTTCGTCTCTGTGTGCTTGCCCTGTTGCGTTGCTGCTGCAGATGCTGGGTCACTGCAGTCAGTGACAGGATCTGTGCTGAGGCCTCACTCGCTCTGCACAGGCTGCTGATGGGGCTGGGCAGGCTCTGGAGCAGTGCAGGGGTGTCCTGCCTCTCCTGCCTGGGCTGTGGGACCATTGGGAGTCCTGTTTACTAGAGTTACGGGAAAAAAGGGAAGGAACAATGGGAGTGTTTGGAATGCGAAGTGCTTGGTAAACCTCGTTGAGCCTGTAATGGTTCCTCTTCAGCTGGACAGTTTCTGGGCAGGAACCTCTTCTCTGATCATCTCAGAGATGGAGCTGAAGATAGCCGGGACTGTGCTGAGGGCCAGGAGAGCCTTGGCTGGTGTGTGCTGGACTTGTGTGGCTGCTGAGAAAGGTTTTGTGGCTTTGCTGGGGACAAAGCGTGCCAGCAAAAGGGAGGAGTGGAAAAGGAAATCAGCAAGGCTGTAAAATGTTCCCTCTGGGGCAATTGCAGCTCCTGAACTCTGGCAGAGGAGTGGGTCAGCAAACCCTGCTGGCAGGGATCCGGGCAGCGAGCGTGCCAGCGCTGGGGAAGGGAGACGTGGGTTTCGCAATGTGCTCGCTGGAAACCCCTGCAGTGCTGCAGCGCTGCTTATCCCGTCAGCTCCTTATCCAGGCAGACAGGAGAGGAAGGAGGAAGGAGGGGGGAAGGAGGGTACCTGCGGAGAAGCGCCGGGAGCCGCTGGGTCACCCCTGGCCACCGCTGAGGAGGATGCACTTTGGTTACTCGCTCTGTGGCGTGACCGAGACCCGGCAGCTTTACCCTCAGCCCACAGCAGAGGTTATTCCTGTGGTCCCTGCCTGTTTTCCCAGTGGGAATTGCCCTTCCTCTGAACCCTCCTGCCAGCAAAGGGTTCCAAGGACACGGGAGGTTTCTGAGAGGGGAGATGCTGGACTCGGTGGCCCTGAGGTTCTTGCTACCAGTCAGGCTTGTTTGCTTCCCATCCTGCGCTTCCGCTGCTTCTCAGCCTTGACTTTAGTCGTCGGCCACTGTCACTTGGTCGTCTCGTCCCTCTTTCTGTATTGGGCCTGTTTACGTCTCCCGTGTTCACACTGGGTGCCCGTGCTCCCGACAGCTTGGTTGCGGCATTAGGGAACACGCCGTGGGGTTTTCCACTCCTGCCTTCAGATGCGCCTCACGCTGTGCCCGAGGAGCAGGGTCCTGCAGCGAGAGCTGCTGCGGGTTTCGGGTCCAGCTCCTGCAGCTGGATGGGCCCCGGGGCTGGGTCAGCTTTGGGAGCAGCAGCCTCGGAGCTGCCGGGATCCCTGTCACAAGGGGAGGCTCAGGGGAGGCTGTGGCCCAGGCCCTGGGTGTGCTTTGTACCCTGTGGAGAATGGGTTTCACTGAGCAGCTGCAGGGCCCCGCAGGGGACACGGTTCCTCAGGAAGGGCTGTTTTGCTTTGGAAATCCCAAGCCTGCTTGGGATTTCTGCCCTGCTGGTTGGGGTCCAACTTGGGTTGAAGCCACATCGTGAAGGAGCAACATTTCCTGCAGCCCAGATGCTCTCCTGTTGCAGGAGCTGCGGTGTCTGCTGGGGCTGGGGCTGAGCTATGGGACTGCAGCTCCAGTGCTGCGGGTGCCCTGGGAAGGGGCCGTCAGCCTGGCTCAGCCTGTGCAGTGCTGATCATGGAATCACACCTTCAGGCTCCTCCAGTCCCAGCTCCCTGCCACGGACACCTTCCACTGGAGCAGCTTGCTCCAAGCCCCGTCCAGCCTGGCCTTGATGCCGCCCACGCTGCTGGTGCCATGAGGAGGATGGGGCCCGCACAAGGCTGGGATCCCCTTTCCAGCAGGTTCTTTTGCTGGCGTGATTTCTCACAGCACTGCAATGGCTGCACAGCGCTCACAAGTGCAACCTGCCCTCACGGAGCCATAAAACAACCTAATAGCTTCAGTATCTTCCACTAACACCTATTTCACAGAAGTAACAGGGACCCATAAATGCATTATCTGTGCTGGGTGGTGCTTGGGAATGCTGAGGTAGCAAGGGAGGCTGTGCTGAGCGGTGGGGCTGGAGGGGGTCACAGTGCCCTGCAAAGCTCAGTTGCTGCCCTGGGCTGCTCCTGTCTCCTTGGGCTGGAAACCAGGATGGGTCCTTGGGGCATCGCTGGCTGCAGGCAGCAGCTCCCTGCCTTGAGACAGCTCAGGGTCACCTCCTGCCTTTCCTCAGAGAGAGCGCTTTGTGTTGGAAGGGGCCTTAAAGCCCATCCAGCTCCAGCCCCTGCCACGGCCAGGGACCCCTTCCACTGGAGCAGCTTGCTCCAAGCCCCTGTGTCCAACCTGGCCTTGAGCACTGCCAGGGATGGGGCAGCCACAGCTTCTCTGGGCACCCTGTGCCAGCGCCTCAGCACCCTCACAGGGAAGAGCTTCTGCCTAAGAGCTCATCTCAGTCTCCCCTCGGGCAGGTTAAAGCCATTCCCCTTGGCCTGTCCCTACAGGCCCTTGTCCCAAGCCCCTCTCCAGCTTCTGGGTTCACAGCCTTCCCCTCGCTTCCCTCACAGGTTCACCACATCCTGCAGGAGATGGTGATCGGTGGCATGGTGCTGGAGACCAACATGAACGAGATCGTGGCGCAGGTGGAGGCCCAGAGCAAGCTGGAGAAGGCAGAGGTGAGCAGCCACGCTGCAGGGCAGCCGTGGGACACCCAAATGGTGTCCCCAGTGTTCCCAGTCCCTGCCTGCCCCTGCCCTTGGGGACCAGGCTGGGGATGTCCCTCGCCAACTTGTTCCTTGCTGTTGTGGAGCAGGGGAGGCAGCCTGGGCATGGAAATGGCTGTTCCCATCCAGGTTAACAGCCCTGCTCGTGCTGTTGTTGTGAAGCTGGGGCTGTGGGGTGAGGGCTGGGGATCACTGGTCCCTCTCTCGGCAGGGAGGGCTCTCGGCAGCTCCTTCCCGCGCGGTCTCGGCTGTGAAGAACATCAACCTCCCGGAGATCCCGCGGAACATCAACATCGGGGACATCAACATCAAAGTGCCCAACCTCTCGCAGTTCATGTGAGCTGCCCCGAGCGTGTGCCACGGGCTGGGGGGGAAGCGGGGCTCCCCCTGGTCCCGGTGTGCTGTGGGGCTGGTAGCGGCAGGGAGCGGTGATGGGCTCAGCGAGGATCCGGTGCTGCTGTCACGGGTACCTGGGCTCGGCTCTGCTCCCTGGTGTCCCATCACGAAGGGTGCCCTTCCTTCCCCTCCCTCCCCGGGAAGGTGCAGCCTCTGTCCCTGCTGTGGGGGGAAGAGCCGGGTCCTGCCTCTCCCAGCACTTCGTGGGGTTCCCGGCTGTGAAAATGCACTCGTAGCTGATGGCTCCTGGGTTGTTGCCCTCTCCATCGCCGTGCCCACCCTGGTCCTTGTGCTGGGGGAAACCAGCCTGGCTGGGGTTGTTCCTTGGAGCTCCATGAACTCTGGAGCTGGAGCCAGCCTGGGGAGTACTTGCAGGGCCCAAAGCTTGTAGGGTCAGGCCAGGTTGGGGTCTCCCGGAGCATGTCCCTGTCTCCTAATAAACATCATGTGAATCAATGTCTGCTCTGGGTGCTGCTGGCCTGGCCTGGGGGAGCACCAGCGGGGCCAGGGGCTCTGTGCAGCTCGTGGGTGCTCAGGTGCTGTGTGGGGTGGGAAATGGGGCCTGGGACCCCCTGGGCTGGGCTTGTTCCCCCCATGGCTGGGGGTCCTGGGGCTTAGGGTGCTGCTTGGTTGGGTGCCCCATGCCCTTGGCTCTGCCGTGGCTCCATCTGGCCACCAGGCTCTGGGCTGGCTCCGGGGCCCCTTCCTCTGCTTCCCCCGGCCCATGGGACCTGAGCTCTGGCTCTGCCTCCACTTCCCCTGGCAGGGAAACGGTGACTCTGCCTGGAAGGAATTTTCCTGCTGTCTCCCCTCCCTGCAGCTTAACCCTTCCCCAGCTGGCCAGGAGCCACCGCCGGCTCCTGAGGTCAAGGAGCTGGACACCCTGCTGCTCCCTCTTCTTTGCCAGCCCTCCTCCTCCTCCTGGTGTGGCTGCCGGAGCAGCGCCGTGGAGGGAGCGGGTGAGTGGTGCTCCGGGCTGTGTCCCGGGGTCTGCTTGCCACCGGGATGGTTGGGTGGGATCTGGTTGGACTTTGGTTTGCCCAAAGCAAGGAGCTTGGAGCGGTGCCCGTGTCCTGCCCTTGGTGCCGGGGTCGGTGCGGGGCAGGCGGTGGTGGCTGCGCCGTGGCTGTGTCCGGCCCTGCTGCAGGATGCGGCTGGCCACACGCGCTTCCTCTGTGGCCAGGGGACGTTCTTGTGCTGCCGGTAACGGCTCCGGCCCCGCTGCCCCTTCCCACATCCTGCCCCAGGTCTGCGGGAGGAGCAGGGGCCCTGCCGGGGCAGAGCGAGTCCCGTGCGGGTCCTGCCCGTGCCGGGGCTGCAGGCAGAGCCCACGGGGCCGTTGGTGCTTCACCGGGACCCATCTCCACACCTGGAGGCTGCAGCCCTGACCCCAGTGGGAGCCTCGGGGCTGGCGCAGTGGCTGGGGGGGAGCCGGGACAGGAGCCCCGGTGACCTGGCAGAGCTGAAGGTGAGGCCTGGCTGCGGGCAGCAGCGTTCCTGCCCCGGGCAGGGCTGTGGGTGCCCGACACTGGCATGGACCCTGTGAGGGGCTGCGGAGAGGCCACCAGACCCCTCCTGCACCCCAGTGTGAGCTGGGGGACACAGACATGGAGGGCAGGGGCTGCCCGGGGGCTCCGTGCTCTCCTGGCTGAGCTGCCTCTGTCAGCCAGAGATGGGGCTGGCTCCTGGCTCCATCACCCATCCCGAGGCTGCACGTTGGCACCCATGGGTGCTGGGTTCTGCTGCACTCAGCCAGGCTTTGCTTGCTGGAGTGTCCCCTGACACCAGCACCCCCTGGCAGCAGGGCAGAGGGGATGGAGCTGGCCCCGGCCCAGCAGGTAGCCCTGCAGTAGGTAAATGTTTGCTTTTGCCCTGCCAAGCACCAGCTGAGCCCAGTGCTGGCCCTGTTTCCAGGCAGTGCTGGGTCACTGCACCCCACAGACCCACCTGCACCCCACGGAGCCCACAGGCTGCCCTCAAGGACTGGGACATCCGTGATCCACTGCTGCCGGTAGGGCTGGGGCAGAGGGTGCTGGGCTGGGGGGGCTGAACAGGGGTCACCCCCAAGCAGGGACCCTTCCCAGTGTGCCTGGGTGCTGTGGGTGCTGCGAGGAGGGCGCACGGGCAGGCTTGGTTCCTGCTGGGTTGTGGTTTGTCCCTTCTCCTGCCGTTCCCCTGGGATGAGCATGGCCAAGGCTGCTGTGAGGATGTGAACCCCCAGCAGCACCCTGGGGGGCTCTGGCGTGGAGGGGACGAGCTGGGGGGGTTGTCCCCAGCAGCGGGGCACTGCGGTCCCAGGCTGCATGCGGCTGGAAGGGTGTTCCGGGATAACGCTTCCGGATGGGGCTGGGGGACAGCCTGCATGGCCTGGGGGGCTCGGGCTGCTCCCCCTGCCCCACACAGCTGCCACGGGGGAGCGTGTGCCCCCATCCCGCACCCCAGCACCGCCACCGCGGGCTCCAGCCGTGCCCCTGCCGGGGCTCTGTGCCACGGGACCCCCGCGTCTCGGCCCCTGGGATGCTGAGCGCAGCCCGTGGCACGTGCAGGCTGCGGGTGCCCGTGGCTGGTGGCAGCGGCACGTGTGGGCCTCGGGCTGGAGTTTGACCCCGGCACGAGCTGGGCGCTGCGGGCCTGGACTTTGAGAGGGCTGCGGGCAGGGGCAGTGCCACGGGGACCCCGCGGTGCGCTGAGCCCCGGCCGCGCTGTGACCGCCCGCCCCGTCCCTCCTCTTGCAGGGCCAGGCGGGTCCCTGGGAGCCCTGGCCCGTGCCCGCTCCCGCGCTGCCCATCCCTGGTGCTGCAATCCCGAGGTGCCAGCGTTCCCCCCCGCCGCAGCGGTGCGGGCTGTTAGTGCTGCTGCGAGCCCGGGGAGTGCAGAGCTCATCCCCGGGGCTGCCACCACCCCGAGCCTCACGGTCGCTTAATACTTCACTCATTAACTTGGGCTGATAAACCCGGTGGGAGCGAGAGGCTAAAAGCCGTGCCAGGCGGGCAGCACCTCCCTCGACAGTCGCTCCGCAGCCCTGCCATGGCGGCCGGCTTCTTCATCAGCAAGAGTGTGGCCGTCGTGGCCGTGGTGCTGGGTCTGGGCTCCGTGGCCACCATCATCGCGCTCTCGGTGGTGTACGCCCAGGAGAAGAACAAGGCGACGGATCTTGGCACCACCGAGCTCAGCACCGCCAGCCCCAGCACCACCAACACCGCTGCCACCACTGCCACCACTGCCTCCACTGCCTCCACCACCTCCACTGCCTCCACCACCTCCACTGCCTCCACCGTGCCCCCTGCCCACGATGCCTGGGACAAGTGGAGGCTGCCGACCACACTGATGCCGGAGTTCTACGAGGTGACCCTGCAGCCCTTCCTGACGCCCGATGCCAACAACATGTACATCTTCAAGGGCAACAGCAGCGTGGTCTTTGTCTGCGTGGAAGCCACGGACCTCATCCTCATCCACAGCAAAAACCTGAACTACACCCTGCAGGGCTCCTTCCACGCCTCGCTGCAGGCAGTGGATGGCTCCAGCGTGCCCCCCATCACCCGGACCTGGCTGCAGCCCACCACGCAGTACCTGGTGGTGCAGCTGGGCAGCCCGCTGCAGCAGGGCCAGCGCTACCGGCTCTTCAGCATCTTCACCGGGGAGCTGGCCGACGACCTGGCCGGGTTCTACCGCAGTGAATACGTGGATGAGTCAGGCACCAAGTAGGTGGAGGGCAGGGGATGGGACTGAGGGCGGCGGGCCACGGGGCGAGCGGAGGGAGCCGGGTGCTGACGGGGGTCTCTTGCAGCAGGGTGGTGGCCACCACGCAGATGCAGGCGGCTGATGCCCGCAAAGCTTTCCCCTGCTTCGACGAGCCGGCCATGAAAGCCAACTTCACGGTGACGCTGATCCACCCCTCCGACCACGAGGCCATCTCCAACATGCCCGTCAGGAGTGAGTGGGGTGGGAGGAGCTCCAGTGGGGGGCTCTGGGGGCCCGGCAGGGCTGTGGGGTGACCTCCCCCTTGCTCCCCATAGGCACCCAGCAGCAGCAGATCGATGGGAATACCTGGAACATCACCGAGTTCGAGACCACCCCCAGGATGTCCACCTACCTCCTGGCCTTCATCGTCAGCCAGTTCACATATGTGCACAACATGTCGGAGAACGTGCTGGTAGGATGGGGGGGCACAGACCGACCCCCTGCCCACCCAGGGCTCTGAGCCTGAGCCCCACGTCCCACCCCTTCAGATCCGCATCTGGGGCCGCCCCGCGGCCATCACCGAGGGCCAGGGCGAGTACGCACTGCAGGTCACTGGCCCCATCCTCAACTTCTTCGAGAGGCACTACAACACGGCGTACCCGCTGCCCAAGTCCGGTGCGTGCCGCGGCACTGAGGGTTGGAGGCACCGGGGTTGATGGCACCAGGGTTGGTGGCACTGGGGGTTGGTGGTACCAGCATTGGAGGTAGCCGGGTTGGTGGCACCGATGCACCAACAGGACCCCTGTGCCCCCAGACCAGGTCGGCCTCCCCGACTTCAATGCGGGCGCGATGGAGAACTGGGGGCTGGTGACGTACCGGGAGAACTCGCTGCTCTTCGACGACGCCTACTCCTCCATCGGCAACAAGGAGCGGGTGGTGACCGTCATTGCCCACGAGCTGGCGCACCAGGTACTCACCGTGCCCCCGCTGGCCCCCCTCTGTCCCCACCCTGTCCCCGCGGTGTGACGGGTGCTGTGACCCCCCGCAGTGGTTCGGGAACCTGGTGACGCTGCGGTGGTGGAACGACCTGTGGCTGAATGAGGGCTTCGCCTCCTACGTGGAGTATCTGGGTGCTGACTCAGCAGAACCCTCCTGGAACATTGTGAGCGTCAGGGCATCGGGCAGCGGGGTGCAGGCAGGGTGAGGGCAGGGCTGAGGCGGGTGCTGTCACTCACCCCCACAGAAAGACCTGATGGTGCTGAACGAGGTGTACACGGTGATGGCGACAGACTCCCTGACCACGTCCCACCCGCTCTCCTTCCGCGAGGACGAGATCAACACCCCGGCCGAGATCAGCGAGGTCTTCGACTCCATCGCCTACAGCAAGGTGGGCACAGAGGGGTCCCCGGGGTGGGGGGGCTGCAGGTGTCCCCTGCACCGGGTGTCCCCTGCACCGGGTGTCCCGTGCACTGGGTGTCCCCTGCACCGGGTGTCCCCTGCACTGGGTGTCCCCTGCACCGGGTGTCCCCTGCACCGGGTGTCCCCTACACTGGGTGTCCCGTGCACCGGGTGTCCCGTGCACCGGGTGTCCCCTGCACTGGGTGTCCCCTGCACTGGGTGTCCCCTGCACTGGGTGTCCCGTGCACTGGGTGTCCCCTGCCCTGGGTGTCCCCTGCGCTGGGTGTCCTGTGCACCGGGTGTCCCCTGCACTGGGTGTCCCCTGCACCGGGTGTCCCCTGCACCGGGTGTCCCCTGCACTGGGTGTCCCCTG